GTGCGCGGCGGCGGGGGGCAGCGTCCGAGGCCACGTCCCAGCAGCCCCAGCGCGCTGGGCCCGTGCCGCTGGGAGCCCCGTGCGCCCGCACCAAGAGGCCACTCCGGCGAGAGGCCACCACTCCTGCGCGCAGCCGCTCCGTGCGGAGAGCACCCCGCCCCGCCGACCGGGAGCCCGGCGCCGATCGATCGACGGATCGGCCCAGAGCGCCCCCAATCGGGGGGCGCCGCCGATCCCTGGCTGCTGCTCCTCCTCGTGGCACGCTCGCGCAGTTCGTGCGCGGCGCCGCGCCGCCGCGCCCAGCCGGCGGCAGCCTGGGCGCCCAGGGTGCGGGCCCGCACGGGCCAGCGGCGCCAGGGGACGTCAAGGTGCGGGGTAGGGTCAGAGGTGGGGCCTGGGAGGAAGGCCGCCCTCCACGGCTCCTGGCAGAAGGACGTAATTAGGGCCTGTGCGCACCCAGCTGGGTTCGTTCCCCAGCCCCTCGCGGGGGTCGCCCTGGAGGCCTCCCAGATGGGGTCGGAGTAGATGGGGTCGGAGGGTCGCGCCGCATTGCCGATGCATCGGCGATACATCGGCGATGCACTGGCGACGTCGCCGATGTGTCGGCGATGTCTGCGTGGAGAAGATTGGGCTCCACATCGAGCGGCATCGCGGATGCAACGGCGATGCAACGCACTCCTCCGTCCCCATCAACTCGGTCCTCGGACCGCGTCAGTCGCACAGCTCAGCGCGGGGACCTGGAGCGGAAAACGGAGCGACACAAAGTAGCCCATCAAACGTATCAGGAGCAGCGGGAGGAGGAGTAGGAGGAGGAGGAGGAGGAGGAGGAGGAGGAGGAGGAGGAGGAGGAGGACGACGAGGAGGGGAGGAGGGGATGAAGGGAGGAGGGGGGGGAGGAGGGAGGAGAAGGGAGGAGGCGGAGGAGGCGGAGGAGGCGGAGGAGGAGGAGGAGGGGGAGGAGGTGCGGAGGAGGAGGGAGGTGGCGGAGGAGGAGGCAGGAGCTCTCCGGCCTGGCATCGATCGATCGACACATCAGCCATCAGCCAGGCCCGCGCCGCCGCGGCCGAGGCCACGTGGCCCGCGGATCGTGGCGGCGCTCCGAAGGCCGCGGCCCTCCAGCCCTGGCAGAGGCGCTCCTGCTCCGCGGCCTCCCGGTGCAGGTTGAGCGTCAGACCGCCAAACTCGGCCTCCCGTGGGCTGGCGGCGCGCAATGTTTGCCCCCCCCCGTCCCCTCCCTCCTCCTCCTCCTCCTCACTCCCCTCCTCCCATCCAGCCCCAACTCCTCCTCTCCTCCTCCTCCTCCGCCTCCCTCCTCCTCCTCCTCCTCCTCCTCCTCCTCCTCCTCTCCCCCTCGCACCGTGAGAAAAAGTCCGGAGGCAGATACCTCTTCTGCCTCTGGGGGCCCTCGCCAAGCCCTGGGACTGTCAACAAAACTGGCTCAAGATGCAAAGCCGGCGGTCCCAGGGAAATGGTCTGGGGACGCCGTATGTAAAAAAATGCACCAAAAAAAAAACTCAATGAGTGTATGGTTTTCGATATAAAAGAGATCGACCGGGAACCCGGGAGCCCGGAACCCACCGAAACGGGCCCGGAATCAATAACCAGGAACCCGGGAGCCCGGAACCGGGAACTGCCTGAAAGGCCGTTCACGGAGCAGTCGAATTCCCTTGAACTCACTGCCCCGTCCTTGCCTCCCGCCAGCGCCACCAGCCCCCAAGCGGCCGCATCCCCCCCCCCGGACTGAGGCAGGACCCTTAGGGGCCGATGGACCCAGGATCCCTCCGCGGGACACCAGACCGACTTCAAAGCGAAGGCCGCCAGCGGCCCGGAAGGGAAAAAGGCGCTGGGTGAGGCAAAGCGCTAATAGAGGACAGCGAAACTCCCAAGAGCGCTTTTCCACGAGTCACTCTCTGGCCCCGCCGAAACGAAAACGAAGCTAGGCCGCATCATGGGCCAGCAAACTCCCGAGATACTGAAGCCTCTGTAGGCCAGCTTCGGGCAACTGCATTTCGCTTAATGTTTGCTGGCCTTCTGCTATGTATATGCAAGACGTGGCAGTGTCTTGCCACCTACCCTTCTCGAGGGCTGCGGGCATATACTTTTTGCGTTTGAAAACGAAAGGCCCCACCTCTTCTCAGACTGTAGGGCTTGAGTCGAAACTGCGGGCAATCTACTGCAGCGCTTAGCTGCTCGAGCTTAGTTCTGAAATCCTGCGCAGTGGATGACAAGATCAACTGGTCTGATGGCACATGGCAAAGCAGGAAGGCGAGCAGACGGGCAACCGAACCATCGTCACTTACACCTGTCTCCTGGCGATGGAAGCGCAAGCCGCTTTTTGTGATCGGCAAGATCACCACGATCTTGGCGTGAGCCTCATCGATGGCCTTCTGCCAGGGGCACGTCAACGGCCTTCGCCGCCGCGCAGGCCTCAAGAGGTGAAAGAGCCTCCAACAGCCTGGATACGTCGAGGGGCTCCGCGGGAAACACCTCTTCACCATCATAGGACGTGGCCGCTGAGGTAAGTTCGGGCTCCCAGTTGACTCCAGGAGTTAACCTGGCACGCCGCGCGCGAAGGACTCCCACCTCATACAGAAGGCTGCTCAGCGCCTTGCTCTGGGTGGCGCTCGGTGGGCCGACGGGTTCGTCGATCCAGCTGCGATTGTTGTGGTAGTTGAAACCCTTCACGACGGCGTGCAACCAGTTCAGCTCCTCATGGAATGCCTCTCCCAGTTTCCGACCTTCCTCGCGACCGTCTCCGCGACGAAGAGGAGAGGCCCACGCGTGGAACACGATCGGGGATGGCAATGGATCTCCACGGCTTCTCCGACCGTTCGTCTGTGGACGCGGCCTGTCACCGTCGTTCCAATCATAATCAGAACGTGCAAATCTATCGGAAGCCTGCGAGGGGGCCGGGTGTGAAGGGACCACATCAGGACCATCGTTAAGAGAGCCTGGTCCAACAATTTGATCAGCAGCATCGGAAGTGAGCGTAGAAGCCCAGTGCGAAGCAGAACGCATATCGGACTTACGCAAAAGCTCTGGGCAAAGCGTGGCACGCAACAGCTGCTGCAGGACGCCGCCGAAGTTCTCCGCCGTGGAGCCAGCGGCCATCTCAAGCAAGGAGTGCGACGAATTGAGCGAGCCGTCCTTTGCGCCATCGCAGACGCGGGAGTCGCCAGCATGCATGGAATCACGGCTCGAGGCGGCCGTCGAAGGGATCGGGGGCCCCCGCGTCGCCGGAGCCGGTCCCGCCCCCTCGGGCTCAGAGGGCGCAGCGGACACCTCGGCGTCCGTCAGGTTCGAGCCCCCCCCCCGCCTCGTGTCTTCGACTTGCCACCCGCCTTGCCCGCCATCCACTTGCCCGACTCGGCCGAGCCCTTGCCCATCTTGAACATGTGCTTCCCTCCCCCCGTGGATGACTTCCCGCCGCCCTTCTGGCGCGGGGTCGGCAGGTCCTTGGAGGCTCGGGGGGGGGGCCGATCCTGTCGGGGCCGGGGCCGACGGCCCCGCGAGCCGCAGCTGCGGGCGACCCTGGCGCGGGGGCCGCGGGCCGCTGCTCGGCGGCGGGGCTGCTGGCTCGCGCCGCGGGCGCGGGGGCGCGAGGCGATCCTGCCGCTGCGCCCTCCGTAGCTCTCCTCCGCTCGGCTCTCCGCCGAGATGTCCTCGAAGCCTTCGTCCGGTCGAGCGTGGAGTCTCTCTTGGAGTGGCCTGTCTTCGACTGGAAGTTGCCAGGTGCTGGGGGGCGGCCTCTGAGAGGGTGGCATCCTGGGCTGCGCGCCCTCCTCTCGACCTGACCCCTACCGGCGCCGCCCCCTCCCTTCTTGGCCTTGGCGACGCTCTCCGCCATGCCGCGCATCCGCTCGCGCTTGCTCACCGCGTCGCACCCCTCCTCCTAGCGGGCGGGGCCGACTCCGAGGTCGTCGCAGAGCTCCAAGTGCTGCGCCACCTGCCAGCGTCCGTCCTTGGTCGCCTGCTCGAGCGCCTTCAGCCTCTGAATCAGGAGATCTCCGAGGTGATCCAACTCTCCTCGAAGCAAGGCATCGAGGCACTCCCCCACCGTTCTCATCTCGCGCACCTTTCGCACTCCCATCTCGCTCTGAGGATGGTGGCCGTGCCACGCGCTGGTGACGCACTGCGCCGCAGAAGCTGCAAGCTCGCCCAGGCTGGAATCTGCGCCCGCCCCCGCACGCCGCGCAAGGTAGCGTTTGATCTGCTCCGTCCCGCTGGATAGGAGAGCCCCTGGCCTCTCCCGAGCAAGATGGGCTATCCTGCGGCCTGAATCGACGTGTGGGGCGCCATCAAAAACTGACGCGCCTGGGCTGCTGTCGGAGTTCCGGCGGCGCCGCTTCCGACGGCGGCCCCCTCGCTTCGACTCTGTCAGCGCAGCCTCCACACGGTCCGTCAGCACTTCGCCCACACTCCTCTTTTGTTGCAGGCGTCTCCTCAGATCGGCAATATTCCCATGCAGCTCCTGCGACGTCGGCTGAGCGCCAGGGCCGTCGCCCCCCAGCGCAGGGGCAGGCGCGTCTGCCGCCAAGCCAGCGCACGCGCGCCCAGGCACCTGCGACTGCGCCCAGGGCTCTGTCACGCTGGCGGGCGATCGCATCCGATACGTCTCGATGTGCAGCGCCGACCTCTGAGGCCATTGCGCCAGTCCAGCACGCAGTCCAGCCTGCTGCGCGCAGAGGCGCAGCACCGCGCCTCCAAGGCTGGTGAAGCTCCCAGCCAGCATCGGCCACAGCGCGGCGCTGCTGCATCCGAAGAGGCTCGCCTCCACGAATCAGCCCGTGCCATCGCCGGGCCAAACGCTCTGCACCTGGAAGAGGGCCGCGCCCGCCGCGCTGCCGAAGTGGCCCAGCGCCACGCCCTCAAGCAGGCACCCTTGCGACAGCCCGAGCCTCTGGCACGCCATCGGCGCCGAGGGCCCGTGCGCCCAGGGCCCGGCGCCTCCCGGCGGCGCGGCCAGGTCGTAGCCTCCGCCAGGGGCGCCAGCGGCCGCGCTTGCAGCAGGCACCCAACCGAGCAGCCCGCCGCCCCCTGGAGCAGGAGGCACACCTGCTGCGCCTAGCGCTCCGCCTGCGGCGGGAGGCCATGCGCCCGCTCCGCCGAAGCTGGCCACATAAAACATCCAGGACGGGCGGAATTCCGCATTTGTGGGGCAGCGTTTCCCACTTGCGCCCATGGCCGATTCGGCACTGCGCGCAGCTCAAGTAAGTACGTGCGCCAGTACTTCACAACTTACCCTGGCAATGCACCCTGAAAGCAGCAAAAGGTGGCATGAGAGACCTGTGGAACCTGCAAGACTTGTGAAACCATCGAGGCCTGCAAGACCAGATGGAGCTGTGAAACCTGTGGGACCTGTGGGACATGCGGGACCTGCGGGACCTGTGGGACTTACGGGACTTACGAAACCCGCGAACCCTCCGGGGCCTGTAGGACCTCTGGGACTTGTCGCACCTCCGGGACAGATGAGCCCTGCTGAAGCTGTGGGACCTGTGAGACCTCGACTGGGACTGGTGGGACCCGTCGGACCTTTGGGACCCATGGGACCTGTGTGGCCCATGAGAACCTGTGGGACCTGTGAGACCTGCTGGACCTGTGGGTCCAGAGGGACCTGTGGGACCCGCTGGGCCTGTGGGAAATGTAAGACCTTGGGGGCGTGTAGGACATGTGTGTTATGTCGGATCAGTGGGGCCTGTGGGACTTGCGCGGCTTGCGAAATTATTTGGAACTGTGGGACCTGTCGGGCATGTGGATCCTGTGAGACCTGAGGGGCCTGCAGGATCAACGAGACCTGCGTGACCTGCGGGGCCTGTGGGCGTTGTGGGAGCGGTGGGACATGTGGAACCTGTGGGACCTCTAGGATTCATGCGACATGTGAGAACGATGGGGTTTGTTGGACCAATGGGACGTGATGGGGCCTGCGAGACCTTCCAGACTTGCGAGGCCTGCGGCGCCTGCAAGATTTGTTGGACCTGCGGGACCTGTGGGACATGTGGGATACGCGGGACATGCGGGCCTTGTGAGACTTGCGACAGCTGTGGGCCTTGGGGGAGTTGTGGAACCCGTGGGACCCGTGGGACCTGTGGGAATTGTGGGACCAGTGGGACCTGCAAGACCTGAGAGACGTGCGAGACCTGTGGGACCTGTGGGACCTGCGGGGACTGTAAAACCTGCGCGGCCTGCGAGATCTGCGAGACCTGTGGGCCATGTGGGACTTGTCAGATCTTTGAATCCTGCGGACCTGCGACCGCCCAGGACCAAACTAAGGCCCTGAATTATGGGACCGCCGGGCACCCAAATAAGGACCTTACTTGGGACCCAGGGGGCCCCTTATTAAATTCAGTGGATCGACAGATGTCTCGTGCTTTGGGACCATCGAGGCCCCCGAAGGAGGATTTATTAAGGAACCCGCGGGTTCATTACGTCCACCATGTTTTTTTGGAGCGGGGGGACTCAAAATTCAAACTCCCCAGCGTGGCCGTCGGAGGCCTTCAACTAGCCACCCCACTTGGAAACGCGACGCAACTGAGCCGAGATCTGAACGCGACTCTGATGCCGTCACCGCCGCACCTGCACTGCATCCGCTAATCCGCAAGCAAGCCCAAGAAACCGCCATGGAGGCGGGCAGACCCCCGACGGCACCAGCTGACATCCAGAGGAGCTCACGACGGCCCACGATGGCCCCGAAGTGTCCCAATGAGCCAAAGAGCGGTCCAAACGTGCCCCAAAAGGCCCCCAAGACAACCCAACAGGACCCCGTGACAAGCCTAATGCGGCCTGAGAGTAACCCGTGAAAGACCCAAGAGAGGCAAGAACAACGGACGCATAATGAGGCAGAAACATAAGGGGACTCACGACGGGGGAACGGAGGAGTGGGGGGGACGACAAGAAAACGAAGGAGTACGCCCCGAAACGACGCGGATCAGCGTGTCACATGTTGCGGCCACTGCACGGGTATGGGTGACGATCTGTCGCGTAGTACGGTTTTCTTGGCGGTGCTCTAAAACCCACCGCGCCGAAACATGCGCAATCGCAGAGCGTGGGACTTGCTGCGAACACATCGGCATAACGCGAGCGCCTGGTTCTCTACACGAAACCGCAGTACGTATGACTTGTCAACGAAATCGCGCTCTCCACGACACGACCGGGCTCTCAATTTTGAGATGCGCGCAGTGACCAGTGAGAAAACTCAAAAATGCGAAGAGAGGGAAGGGTAGGGCAAAAGGAAGAGGCCGGGCGAGAGGCGAACCACAAATGATCACCGCCCAAACGAACGTGGCAAGCGCAAGCGCTGAACAAAACAGAAAGAACGACATTCCTATGTTTTGGCGCGCCGCCTAGAAGGGAAGGGGGGCAGGGGGGCCGATAGCCCAGAAGAAACAAACTTGGCGGCATGCTAGACGCTACACGAGCCCCTCGCCACGCGGGGGCGCTCTGCCCGCATGAACGAGCGCATCGTCGCCCCAAATCGGCGCAATCACGCCGCGCGAAGCATCGCTGGGCGGGGGCAATCCGCCCATGCAAGAACGCGCAGCTAACAAGCGAAACTGGCGTTACGCGCCGCCTTAACCATAGTGGTGCAATGCCGCAGCGACCACGTTTTTACTACTACGACCGCCCCTGATCAGCGCGCACATGGGTTGTGGCAGACAGGCCCCGCCGCGCGCGATCCGCACTCAGCCTCGCGAAGGCACATTGAAGGGAATCTCCACGGGAAAACCGCCGCAAGTGGCCAGGCTGCAACCTTTCGAAAGAGCGCTGCGTCAAACCAGCAACACTCGCCAACGACAGCCGCAACGCAGAAACAACCGACAAAAAAACATAATTCAAATGACGTCCAGAACTTCCGGTTGCGGTGGTTTCTTGCGCGGTCAGAAGCCGCCGATGCCAAGGACTCCACCGCCCAGCCCAGGCATGCCTGGCCCCGCTGCGCCGACTCCGCCAGGAGCCCCACCAACAGCAGCCGCGGCACCGCCGCCACACGCGGGGGGAACCAGGCCGCCCGCGGCGGCCCCAGCGGCGAGGGGCCCACCAGGAAAGCCGGGGGGGCCTGCCCCGACAAGGGCCCCTCTTCCGGCAGCGGCGGCGCCCACAGGACCTCCAGCGGCCGCAACGCCTCCACCAAGGGCGCCTCCGCCTCCAGCAGCGGGAGGCCCCGCGGCGGCAGGGGCGGCAGGGGCTCCAGCAGCCGCGCCTCCGCCTGGCGCCAACAGAGCTCCGCCAGGAAAACCTCCACCAGGAACGCCAGGCGCTCCTCCGCCTGGGGCGGGCTGAACCGCCGCGGCCGCGGCCGCGCCAGCGGCGGCGGCTCCAGCACCACGCCCGCGGCCTCCGCGTCGACCACCGCGACCTCTAGCAGCAGCCGCGGCCCCAGCGGGCGGGACGGCCGCGGCGGTTGCCCCAGGCAGCGCAGCGCCTGCGCCAGCGGCGGCGGCGGCCCCGCGCCCTCGCCGCCTTGGCCCAGGCTTGGGCTTAGCCTTCCCCTTCGGCCGAGGGGCTGGGGGCGGCGCTGGCAGCGCAGTCGCTGCTCCCGCAGGGAGCGCCGCGAAGCCCCCAACGCCCGCGGCGGGCGCCGCCATCAGCGCACCATCGCCACCAGGCCACGCTGGCGGCCACGACGGGGCGAGGGGGCCCGAGGGCGGGGGGACCCTGGGGGGGGCCCGACGGGCCCCCCGCTCCTGTGAGCACAGAACTCCGGACGACGCGGCACGCGCGACCAGGCAGAACAGGGATGAGCGGCCACGAAGCAAACAACATAGAACACGACTCTCTGCATGTACGCATGCATGCGTACATACATGCAAACACACGTACATACACACATTCATGCATACATACACATATACTTCCATACATTCATACAAACAGGAATACATGCACACACGCATACAAACATACATACATATATACATACATACATACATACATACATACATACATACATGCATCCATGAATACATACACACATACATACCTACATACATACATGCATACATACATGCATGCATGCATACACACATACACACATACATGCATGCATGCATGCATGCATACATACATACATACATGTACGCATGCATGCATACATACATACAGGCACAAACATGCATACATATATACATACATATACACATACATACATACACGCACATACATACACACATGCATACATACATACATGCATGCATGCATACATACATACATGCATGCATGCACGCATGCATACATACATACATACACACATACGCACATACATACATGCATACATCATACATGTGTGCATACGTACATGCGTACACACATACATACATGTATACATGCATACATACATGCATACATACATGCATGCATGCATGCATGCATACATACACACATACCTACCTACCTACCTACCTACCTACCTACCTACCTACCTACCTACATCCATACATATATACATACATACATACATTACATTACATTACATTACATTACATACATACATACATGCATACATACATGAGCTTAGGCTGCTACCCGTGCCAAGATCCATTTTTCTTCGGCATGCTCCGCTGCTTCGAAGCAAATCAAGAGAACGAGCGGCGGGCGGTGACAGGGCAGCTCGATGGAGCTGACCTGAACGGACAGAGCGAGCGGCACTCAAGACTCTGAGCCCCCTGGGTTGGCGAAGTGACGCCCAGGTAGGAGGAAGATGGGGAAGGCTGGCGGGTCCTGGAAAAAACTTGAGCATAAGTACAACATACGGCACTGATCGCAGCAACAGATCATTAATGTGCAAGCACAACGCATGAGCTTAGGCTGCTACCCGTGCCAAGATCCATTTTTCTTCGGCATGCTCCGCTGCTTCGAAGCAAATCAAGAGAACGAGCGGCGGGCGGTGACAGGGCAGCTCGATGGAGCTGACCTGAACGGACAGAGCGAGCGGCATTCAAGACTCTGAGCCCCTACCCACTGCCATCAAGTGTCTTGGCCTTGGCCACTATCAGCACAGCAAGAT